GACATCAATTATGAATGATCATACACTATTAAATAAAACCTGCAAATGTCTATAAAAAATAGTTTTCCCATCAACTTTTAGAAGAATGGCATGTAATTACTAGTTTATAGTGCTGTAATTACCAGTTTATAACATTGTAATGTCATGTCATAAAGGATAGTTGTTCTGTGATTAATATCAACGCATTTCAACATATCTGTACATGTAAATCAGCATGTTTGAACCTGGGGAAGAAGATCAGTGTTCCTCGGGATCTGATGGTGGAGGAGCTCAATCTGCTGTCCAACAGAGGATCTATAATGTTTCACGAGAGACTCAAAAGAGTGGAGAGGTTCACCTTGGAGAATATAGCACAGAGACACCTCAGTGTAAGACATCTTACTGTGTTCACCGGGTTAAAGTCAACATGAAATCAGAATGGACCCAATTTACTTATGGGTTCATTATAATTATGAATTTATGAATTTGGCCCCAGTGTTAACCAGTAGCCAAATAGCTATTTTATTGTTTTATGGTAATGTCAATAGGCAAGACAATTCTGTGTGGGTTAACATTAATATTGTGGCAATAATAACAAATAATATGTATAAAAAGTTTTACCTTTGAGATGTGCTGAAATCATCTTCAGGGTGAATTTGCCCTTCTGCCTCCACGTCAAAAAGCTTCCTCAAAAGTTCCACAATTGACTGCAAACTCACATTCAGTCCGGTTCTATTCTGGAACACCCACTTTTCATGACCCAATCAATCCCTGTTGGATAAAATCAAGTCCCGCCGTATTTTATTCTCATTTAATATCCTGTTTTACTCAGAGTTGCAAGACTTTTAATTTACAGAAGTAAAATGGGTTGTGGAAGCTGTTAGAATGTGAAACCAGAGGTGACCATTCCTTCTCCTGGAGAGCCAACTTCATGAATAGTTTAGCTCCAATCAGCTGCCTAGAAGTTTCTAGTCACCCTGATGAGTTTGCCAGAAGGCCCTCCAGAAGCAGGACTGGATAACCCCGAGCAAAATTAAAGATGTTTTTAGTGAGCCATCTACTCACTCAGGGGTGTCCAATCATACACCTGGAGGACAACCTTCCAGCAGTTTCTTGACCTAATTAAACACACCTAAACCAGTTAATCAAGTTCTTCATGACCACAAGAAACCTCCAGGCAGCTGGTTGGCGCTAAACCCAGCAGGCCCTCCAGAAGCAGGATTGGACAACCCTGAAGTAACTATTAACCCCAGGCAGTACTGGTTCTGGTTCAGTATGGTTCCATGAAGAACCTTTAAAGGGGTCATAGGATGCCCATTTTCCACAAGTTGATATGATTCTTTAGGGTCTTAATGAAAAGTCTGTAACATAGTTTGGTTAAAATTTCTCAATGGTAGTGTAAAAAACACCTTTTTTCAGATCAAGCCATTTTTGTAGCATTTTCCTTTAAATGTTAATGAGCTCTGCTGACCCCGCCCCTCTCTTCCGAGAGACTGTTTACTTTAGCCGCATTCATCGTGAAATTTGCTAATTAGCACATTAGCCGCATTCATCGTGAAACTTGCTAATTAGCACATTATTAGGAAAGGCGATTTGCAAAGATTTATTACAAAACATTATACTCATTTCTTCTGTAGGTGAAGCTGGATCACAAATGATTTACGCGAACATAGACGCATTTATGTAGATCGGGGGCGCATTCCCTTCAGAAACAATGTAATCCACTGCGAGTTCAGCGACGATGTTGGGAGTAAATGATGACTGCTATGTTCATTATTACATCCAACAACAGAACACCTCAATCGCTTAGGAGTCATTCTTGTCTACATCTGCTCCGGCGGTAAAACAATGGTGGATTGATGACAGCTCACTCAGGGCGGGTCTATAGGTAAGACACCAGTCCAGTCTGTGCTGAAACGCTACTGTCAATCAAACTATCTTGGGAGGGGCCTGTCTGTGTGACATCACACAGACCGGCATCTGAGATCGGCTCAATTCGAGAAAGGGGAACACATTTAACCAGATAAAAAAAAAACACTGGGGGGATTTTTATCATTATAGGATGGTTGTGTACACACACTGCCAACACACATTTCAGTTCAAACAACTTGTAAAAGTGCATGTAGCATCCTATGACCCCTTTAACATTCATTCCTGTCCATTGCACAAAAGTTTCTTTAGATTATTAAAATGTTCTTCACACTAGGAAAAAAAAGTTAATTTAAGAACTTCTTTCTTAAAACTTATCTAAGAAGGTTCTTTGACCTTTTATTTTTAAGTGTGTAGGTTCAGTAATAATGCATTATGTTTTAACACTGTCTAGCACTTAGAGGAAACACTTCAAGGCCAGAATACCACGCAAGGAGAGAAAGGAAGTGATTGCTTCAACTCTGAAATCTACATCAACCAGCCTGGAAAGAACAGCCTAATCACCACACTAAAGCACACGGTTGCTAAGAAAGGAATCCCAAAGTGTGCTTGCACCTGGTAAATACAGTTCTCTTACATTTAGGTTTCTGTTGTTCTCAAAGTCAAAGGAAAATCCTGAAGGTCTCTCAATTCTCTCACACAGGTTATGGGGGGCCTCTGAAAGAGGTTCCTTCCGGAAAAGTTCAATGTCACTGTGATCCCCAAGTCTTACCAATCACCCTGGGAGGAAAACCCCATTGACAACGAGAGCCTGTTGGCCAAGATCAGTACCCATCTGCCTGAGCCACCTTACAAACTCACCCCAGCCAACTACAAATGCTTTAACAGGTACCCATTAATCACAACAGATACTTTCACCCTCATTAGCACAAAGTTGTTGAAGTTAAACTTGTAACCAAAATAAATTCGGTTTACTTTCTAAAGCCATGTTTTTGGTCTTATTTTGAATAATTCATTGATTCCTTTTGTACTGATGTTACCTAGGCCACACAGGTTATTGAATAATGTTAACATGCTGTTCAGCTACACTGTAAAAAATGACAGTGAATTTAACGGTAAAAGATTGTAAAAATGCTACAGTAAAAACCTGTTAAATGGTTAACGGTAAATTCCCCTACTATATACGGTGAAAAACTGTATTGGACATTACATGTATTGGACATTCATTTTATGGTAGTATACCGTTTCTGGAAGTGAAAAAGACTGTATAATTTACAGTGAATAACCGTAAATTGACATTCCCAGAATTCTCTGCGTTACATTTCAAATTTGATGTTTTTTGTTGTTGAAATAACTGTTTCTTCTTAGTTTTTTCATATCAGTTTTGTATATTAGGGTTGTGTGTTACACCTAATGTTATTAAATGAATGTTTATTGCATTATTTCAGTTTCATGTGTGTTACCATGATGGTGTTTGGTGTTTGTGTGAATGACACTGTGCACCTTCTATATATGTTATTATTAAAAAGCTGCTTGTGATAGGCTTTGGTTCATCGTGTGACTTTCTCATCACCACCTGCATTTGGAGGTTATCAGTGTATTACAAAGGTGCAAAACAGATTTCAGTACTTCAATAGCTTGGTATATTTAACATTATATCAGTTAATGAAAATACGGTATTTAACTGTAAATTTAAGTTAAAACCGTAAAACCTCAAATGTTGCTACCGTATTATTTACGGTAAAATTCCGGCAACCACAGCTGCTGGTTTTTTACCGTAAATTTTACGGATTTTTTTTTTATAGTGTACCTACATCTATTTCCATTGAAAATCCTGCTGAAAATCCTTGGACATAATTTAGGGTTTTGAAGTAAAATGGGTTGCAAATGACAAATATTTTAGTTTTGAGAGCATAGGGAGACTTGACTACCTCATTTGCAGTGCTCCGTGATAGTAGGTGCAATTTATTTTGGTGCAACATCCTTGACTGGTCTTTTTTTGTTTGTTTTTGTTTTACAGAATCATTGGTAAAGTAGTTTCCCCCCGAACTATTAGACTGGTAAACAAGATTATCTAAAATAAAGTTTTTAGTTTTTTTTTTTACTCTGGAAACAGTTGCACTCTATTGACAATTAGTACATGTCCGCAAGCTTTGGTGCTTGTTTATTCAAACTCTTTTTTTTGTCACATTTCCACTTCCCTTTCAAATAAATTAATAGATAAACTAAGTAGCAAAAGTCCCTCAAAATGGTGGTTGAATTAAGGATAGACATCAGCCACTACTAGTAACATTATACATAAAAGACTTAGCATGTCTGGCATGGGAAGGCTGCCTGCCAAAAAACTGTTGGTTTTAAGGTCAGGCATTAAAACAGAATTTGACTTGAAACCTTACGCTGGTCCTGGCTCATGTATCAGCATGTGGGTGAAAAAGACAAGACTTGTTCCACTCAGCTGTTAGGGAGACTATTTTAGGGACATGAACAACATTCCTTGTCATTCTTCACAGAGCTCCTACGCCGTTTGCTGGGACAGCAGGTACTGTGAGGACCCTGCCGCTACCTGGTTTTGAGATGCTGCAGGCACACACAGAGCCACATCTGACCTGGGACTAGATGTGCCATCGGCCCAATTTCAATCGTACTCCACGGGGCTGGAGCACCAAGTACGCTGCAGAGTCTCCCGATCTGTAAAGCTAGCATACTCAACTTTTTTGCCAAACTACAATTGAAGAATGAATTTCTGAGGGATGCCTGCATTGCTACTGTGAATTCTGAGCTGAGCCATTGTGAGCCTTCAAATACCAATTTAAAGTTTACATACATTGTCTATTAACATGCTATATTAATGTTTACACAATCGTTCACACAATATTTAAAAATGTGAAGCTTCTTTAATGTAACCACACACTAGACAGTTGAATATTAAAAAAAAAAAAAGTCTTAAAAACCATTCAGGACAACACACTTCATACTTAACAGAAAAAATGGGAAAGGTATGGACTCTAGCGCAAACTGTAATATGAATCCTGGAATATTCTAGAGGTGTAGGACAATAAAGTGTTAGAAAAATAAAGACATCAGATGAAACAAATAGTCAATAGTGCCCCCCCTTGTTAATTGTTGGTCATTGCAACAGATTCTTTTCAGCCCTAAAAAAGGCATCTGTTTCATATCATTACATACAAAACAAAAAAATGACAAAAAGATAACAGAAACCATCAAGGGTTATTATAAATCATATGCATAAAAAAAAAGTTTTTGACATGGTTTAAATTCTAAGATGTATTTTTCCAGTATTCGCCTGCTCTGAAAATGATAGACAGATATAAACGCATAAAAATGAGGGCAGAGGTGACATCACTCTGGGTTAAGTTGTTCAGAGGTCATTGCTGAGCAGTGAGGTAGCTGTAGAACTATCTAAGGGCCTCCATGGCGACTTGCATGGGCGCCCATCCGCTGAGGATCTTGGGATGGGTAGTGGACCTGTCCGGGGGGCCTCATGGCCATTGGAGGGGGCATTGGCGGGGCCATGGGATCCATAGTGTGGAACATAGGAGGACCAAAACCTGGAGAGAGCAGATAAGGTTAACGGGATAGTGAAGCACTTTATCATGGGTTACTCAGAGTAGAGGTCGACCGATAGTGGATTTTGCCGATACCGATAGCTAGGTTGGACCACACTGGCCGATACCGATTAATTAATCGATTGTTTTAAAATTGATACTGAACAAAAACTAAAATAGTGCTTTATTAACAAAACCAGTACTGAACCATACTAGTAGTATAAAAAATTATAATAATAGTAAATGTTGACATTAACACACTCTAAAAAGGAACAATACTTACACAGCTTTCATTAATCTTAATGCTACAACTGGACTCTTATTTTAAAGTGTTACCATTTCATTTCAACTGTCATGCTTAAAGATGCACATCTTTAAATATATACACAAAGGCTATAGCATTAAAATTATATACATATGGATATTGTATGTATACTCTCAGACTTGAACTGCTTCTATTCTTGAACACTTGATGATTATCTAATCAAAATAAAAGCGCAGCACTGAGTCTAGAACTCACCGGTATCGCACACACTCCGGACGCATCGCGTTCAACTCAAGCAGCGGTCTAAAACTGTTTATTTAATCACCAAACAGACACAAGTTTACTTCAAGAATGAACAATTTGGTATAGATGAGTTTGAAGTTTGGCATTTAAAAAAACGGAGCAAATGGAAAGAGATAGCTCGACCTATATTATAGCTCTATAAATGAAGCACACAGACTTTATTAAAGCCACAGAAAGACAAACGTTTTGCTGAAAATGCGCAATACACAATTCATTATGTACATTAACAACGATTCGGGACCAATATAATGTAATTTAAAGGAAAACTGTGAATGGCGCGGCAGGATTTTCTGTCGGCTGCATTTAAATCCACGTCTGAAGTTTCCCGCTTTGCTCAGTATCACGTGTCTAAACAAATAGCACGTGCTGTCAATGATTTCAACCACTAGAGGCCACTCTTGCACTGTATGATGACAGCAGACCCCTTCTCAGCCGGGAAAACTATCGGCATGGATTTTTGACGATAACCGATAGTTCCAGCAATCAACTATCGTGCCGATTAATCGGCAAAACCGATACATCGGTCGACCTCTAACTCAAGAGTACAAAAAAAGAGGAATGAGGAAGTGAGTGGGGTGAAACTTACCAGGCGGTGGGGGCATGGCAACCCCAGGTGGAGGAGGAAGTCCCAGGTTCATGACAGCAGAGGAGCTGGTGGGAGCCAGGTTGAAGTAGTTGGTGGAGGCATCTTCATCAGACACAGGGGGTGGGGGCAGAGCTGTTGAAAAAAATATAAGGAAAAATTCACACACTACTCTACCTTATATTATATATAGAGGCCCCCAATCAATTTATTTTGGAATAACTGTATTCCGTTGTAAAAGCAGTATTTAGAAAAAGTAGTAAATATAATAGATGTAATCCTTTTTATTCAAAATAAAAAAAAATGTAATTACAAGAAATAATACATAAGCAGTACATTTCATCATTAGCTTATGTTAATGTATTATTAAATTATCACTGTCTGTGTGTGTATATGTGGAGGCATCTTCATCAGACACAGGGGGTGGGGGCAGAGCTGTTGAAAAAAATATAAGGAAAAATTCACACACTACTCTACCTTATATTATATATAGAGGCCCCCAATCAAGTTATTTTGGAATAACTGTATTCCGTTGTAAAAGCAGTATTTAGAAAAAGTAGTAAATATAATAGATGTAATCCTTTTTATTCAAAATAAAAAAAATGTAATTACAAGAAATAATACATAAGCAGTACATTTCATCATTAGCTTATGTTAATGTATTGTATATGTATATATATATAAAAATATATATATTTTTTTTTTTACCAGTGTGGCTGGTCAAGTTTTTAAATAAATATATAAGTATAAAAGCAATCCATACAATTCACATTCACATTATTTTACTATATAAAACATGTCTATGTTTGAGAGACTTTTGTCACATACCACCAGGGAGGCCGGGCACCGGCTCAAGCCTGATTCCACTCTCCGTCACCCCATCCTGCTCTCTCTCTTTTCCTCGGGCCGCCTGTGACCTGAACGACACACAACAACATTCAGAACTGCCACCACATAAATGCTACTGTTTGAATTTCTGTTTTTTTCTTGCACGACTAGACACTGACCTGCCCCATTTAACATTAAGCCGACGTCCATTAATGATGAGTTTATTAAAGGACTTCTCTGCAGCCGTCTCTGCGCCCTGCCGTGTAGCAAACTGGATAAAAGCACACTGCTGCCTTTGAACTATGGTGATGGTACGAATCTCCCCAAACTGGTAGAAGTGATTCCTTTGTGGAAAAAGTAAACGGTAATCTTTAATCAAGAAATGACACAAAAAGGGAAAACAACATTTGCAATATAATGTAACAAAGTAATACTCTTAACGGTTTTTACCTACGCAAGTGGCATTTTTCTTTTTTTCTTTTCTTTTTTTTTTATAATAATAAAAATAATAATAATATTATTAATAATAATAATAATAATAATATAGCTTTAGACTTTATATCAAATGAGTAACTATTTTACATTTTGAACCAGTAAAGGCAAAATAATTAACCTAAAAAGGTGACCAATTATGGGAACTAAAATACTTGTGTGCCCCTATAGATATTATTTTTAGCAATATTTCTAGCTTTTTTTCAATTGACAAATATTTTTTGTAGTTTTAGCCTGATGAACTCTGAAGTGCATTTACCTGAGCTCAGAGTCTGTAACGTCTTCTCCCAGCCCTCCGATATAGAGAGTGGTGATAGACTTGTCCTCCGGTATGTCAAGTCTGGGCATGGTGGTGGCCCGCATCAGGAGTTTGTTAGCCACAGGATCATTAATGCCATAGAAACGGTCCTTAATGTTCTGATCAGCCAATGGGTCATCTGGATCCGTGGGCTTTTCATGCCTTTGATATTAAAGCAATACATTTCATGTCAAAAACGTAATCAAAATTCATAATCACTCATACATAATTCATACCTTAAGCATACTTCATTAAAAATGTCACTCCATTAAAGTGCATAAGGTGTACCAAGCAAGCAACTTGATGCAAGACACAAGCAGCAAAATGAAAATCATGACAACCAACACTGGGTGTATTCTGACACAACACAGTGTAAAATTAAGAATCATGGGTCATGATTTTACACCCATAAAAGATACTTGAGGTGTTGCTCACCTGTACGGACACTCTTCCCCTCTCTTGCACTCCCCCTTCACCCAGAAGGAACAGATGTGTGGTCTGTTCCTCTTGTAATACGGTGTGGTACGAGCTAGTTTCAGCAGCATATCGCTGCTGCTCGGTGCCTTCCCAAGCAGCCCCACGGGTCTTGTGCCATCAGAATTAGCGATCTACAGGTCAAAACCCACAGATACTTTTACTTATTACTTAAAGCAGTTTAGTATTTGCATTTACTATGCTATGTTACCATGTGGAAACCACTTAATGTTTCTTTTTGCAAATGAAGACATCATAAAACATGAATAAATGTGTAATGTACTGACAAATTACCTCTCTCTCCATATTCTGAGTGTAATACTCCTTATTTACGTCTGATCTCGGTACTTCATCTTTAACGGACAGCCCAGTGTCACGAACCTGAATGGGCAAACCTGTGCAAAGACCAAAAAATATATATATATATTATTTAGTAATCTTTACAACAACACTGCAATATTCTTATTGAAGGAACATATTAAGCAAATGTATCTGAATTATCCTATAAGAATGCTAGAATTAGGATTGTGTCAGTTTCTAAAGATTTATATACTTTTTTTTGGCTAAAAGTTCACTTTGTGCATACGTCTGAAGTAACTACCAAAATATGAAGCAAATACCAAACATATGTCCAAACTACTGATATACTGTAGCAATGTCAACTAGTGTTTTCAAAAATATTTATTTGTTTGATCCAAATCAATTCTGAATATTTAAAACGGTTTTAATGTTTTGACAGCAAGTTGACAAACACATACTTCATCATGCATTTTAATTAAAGGGGTCATATGATGCTTTTTTAAAGATCATTATTTTGTGTATCAGATGTATCAATTAATTAATCTATAATTAATTATGAAACTCTAATTCAACTTACCATCCGGATGTAAGGGTTTTCTCCCAAGCACGTTTGACAGAGAATGGGAAAATCCTGTTCAAATAAGAAAAGATCAGTACTGTGCATGCATTTATTCAAGACAAAATAAATGTATTCTGTAACGTTACACATACATAAAATTAATTTATTAATAATTAAAAATAGATTATTCATATCATGTTATGAAGACTGTTTGTTACCAGGCCACTCGTTCACATTTTAGTTATATACTAATTATATAATTCATTTCTCATAATTTCATTTCGATCTTAATAGGATGTTTATTTGTGCAATAAAGATCAATTACAACACAGCAACTGGACAGAGGATCTTCACGCTATTCTGTTTGTATACGTCGGTGCCAGTTTATACAGTATATTTACATAATATTTTACCAAGACTTCATCACGAACTGGATAAGGCTTTTGAGGATAATTTTAAAGAGACTACTGAACTGAGTTTCCATGTGCGTAACAGGTAACAATCTTTTGAATTAATATTAGGTATACAAACTGAAATGGCTGTGAACCCTGTCAGGACAACATTTTTTGAGAGGATGAACACAGCAGTACCTTGCACTCCTTGCCAAATTTCTCTTTGGTCTGTTTAAACAAATACAAGCACAAAGTGAAAATACATTTAAATACAAAAAAATAACAATTTCCAATTAATTAATCTATAATTAATTATGAAACTCTAATTCAACTTACCATCCGGATGTAAGGGTTTTCTCCCAAGCACGTTTGACAGAGAATGGGAAAATCCTGTTCAAATAAGAAAAGATCAGTACGGTGCATGCATTTATTCAAGACAAAATAAATGTATTCTGTAACGTTACACATACATAAAATTAATTTATTAATAATTAAAAATAGATTATTCATATCATGTTATGAAGACTGTTTGTTACCAGGCCACTCGTTCACATTTTAGTTATATACTAATTATATAATTAATTTCTCATAATTTCATTTCGATCTTAATAGGATGTTTATTTGTGCAATAAAGATCAATTACAACACAGCAACTGGACAGAGGATCTTCACGCTATTCTGTTTGTATACGTCGGTGCCAGTTTATACAGTATATTTACATAACAATATTTTTAACTATTGATGAGATGAATTTAAATGCTGAGGGTTTTCATTAGCCATGAGCTAAGCGACAGCAGAATAGGTTCCAACTAGAAAAGGCGTTGATTCGGCGAACGCAAACAAAGAACCTAAATGGGCCGGTCACGATAAGTAATACTCCTTTTTTATATGGTTTGCACAAAATACGTATTACATAAAATACACACAAATCCAATAACTATGTACAATAATTATCCATCAAGGCTGATGACACTGATCACTGATAATGTCCATCAAAGAGTTTATGTCTGATTATATCCCGCCACGTTGCTGTCCACTAGCGGCGAATGCGTGCGCTGCAGCCTCTGAGTGAGCACTAGCCTGTGGAGATTGGAGAAGAGGGAGTCCAGTGTGTGCGAGAGGGACAGTCAGTCAGGCTCCAGGCTCGGGTTCTGTTAGGTTCAGGCCAGCAGAGACGCACCGCTTACTCTGTACTCCGACCGGGACTCTCGATTATCCCTAAAGCAGAAGGCTTACATTATCAGGCTGAATCCCTACCATGCTACATTCATATTTCAGGATTTAAGGTCTCACTGCAGCTGCCGCCGGCTGATATTAACTTGGTGAGTGGATCTTTGAATTCTAGATCAGCTAATATGTAAACTAAACGAATTTTGTGAAAAAGCCTCAGTAATCCTAGGTTTTGTCTAGGTTGCCACACACCCTGGAGGTAGCCAAATTATTATAATCGCGCAGAGATAATGGCCATAGTGTTTAGTTGGAATGGGTAACGTTAACGTTAGCAGGCTAGGTTCTGTGTGTCCGTCTTTAGCATAACAGCAACCCCAAAGGCTGTTTTCAAAGCATAGCGAGCTGTCTATGCAGACAGCATTTTTGGGCGTGTTCGAACGATTTCCAAAAAGCTGTCTAGGTAGGGAGCTCACTAGGTTTAGAAACACAGCTCAAAGTATCTCTGGATCGTGAACCTCATTTACCTTCTCCACTGTTTAGCATAGCTTAGCCAGTCTGCTACTGCTCTGGACCTGTTCTGTGTTGTATAAACATCTACATTACCCCAATATTTTCTAAAAGCGTGTGTAAACATAAAACAGCGCTAGAATTAGTTTTTTTTTATGATGGTTGTATCCGTCCACCCCAACACAACTCGACATTAGCCGCCGCAATGAATCTAAACGGGTCGACTAATTAGCTGTTAGCAAGCTAACAAGCCATAGAAGAGAAAGAAGTTTGGACAGCATTAAGTTCATTTGCTCCTGCGTTTGAATTGGATTATTTGGGGAGTTGTGTGGTTCTTTTAACGATTACAGGTCAGTATCTGTTCTCTCCTGAGTTGTGGTTAATATTGAGTTGATATTACCACTGTAGCCTATTTCCAATTGCATTTGTTAATCGAAATAGTTGTGTGGGTACACGTTGTGAATTTTACCGGTTTTCTTTTGCCAAAGGTGTATCTTTTAAATGCACAGTTTGCAACTGTAAAGGAGAGCAGCCTGGTATTTACTCATATCTGGAGGTTATGCTTTAGTGAAGCAGATTAGTACAACTAAAATGTCATTATTCACTGTATGTGCAACCCAAATCAGTGCTTATGCAGAATAAACAACACTATGACAAATTTCCTGATCAGTAGATACTGTGGTATGATTTCAGATCACTATACTGTGTTTGGATGGTATGGGTTGTGAAAAGGAATGTGCTTGTTAGTTTCTAATTAGATTTGCGGCTTTATTTAAGCCTTTGATGTATTAGGGGGCTCATAAATACGTTATAGTGCTGATGAAGTAATTGGAGTCTTAAGGTATCTCATTGAGATTTAGATTAACCTTCATGTGTCGTGAAATGTAGCCCCTCTGCTCAAAGCGAGTTGCAGACCCACCAGATAAACAAACAATGTGCATGAGACTAGTCAACGTTGGTCAAATATTTTGGCACATGCTTATTTAACTGTGGAACACTGACTTTCTTTCTGAACGGGGTCATTCGCAAATATAGATGCTGAAAAACAACTTTGTGGGAAATCAGTGCAGTGGTTGCGGATGGAATATCTGTTAGTGCGCAGCAAAACATGTTGGGGCAGCATGAGGTGTTCAGAGTGGTTTGTCTCTGGGATTAGGGCGAGAGGCTTTCGTTTTGCTGTTTGAAAAGCTGCATCTGGGTGGAAAGGTTAGAAGATTCAATAATGAGAAATGACGGGCTTTCTGAACCTCCTTGCTGAATAGCCTGAGCCGTTAAATGTCTGTGCTCATGCAGGTATTTATCTCTGGTTTGAATGTGAATGACGGAGTCAGATGGAAAACGGGGGCATGAAAATAGGTGGCTCACAATTTGTGTGGCTCAAGATAAATATCAAATTGAGTTTTTCATTAAAGAAAGGAAAGAGACCTTGTCGGCAATGCAGAGAGAACCCAAGTATGACCTCGAGTCAATACAGGAAGATTTCAGACTGCCTCTGGCTAGCGGCGAAGAGCTGCGAGTGAACTGTGAGTCTGCTAGTTGTGTGGCTCTCTCAACATCAGATCTGCTGTTGGTCTTCGATTCATTGCACAGTCCATTTTGACATGCACACCTTAAAGGAATATTTAAAGGTTCAACACAATTTAAGCTCAACTGACAGCGTTTGTCTAGCGCTGCAAATTATTATTTTGATAATAGATTAATCTGACGATTGTTATTAATTTGAGCGGGGAGTTAGGGTATTTTTTAGACATATTTTAAAACTACAATCATCCAACCTAAATGTTTCGTCACCCAGTGTATTTGTGTTTTACAATTTATAATGTTAAATCATATTTATATTGTGAGGAAGATACTTAAAAAGAACTTTGATTTCAAATTCTGAATTGAATTTATTTTAACTAAAAAATACAAGTAAATAGTCAGTAATAAAATAAGAATAGATAAATGACAAGCACAAACAATAACAAGATATAACGAAAATTAACTGTGCTTTAAGTTTTTCAGGTAGGTATAACAGTAATATTCAGGTACAGAAATACCACAGAAACTGAATAATCTATTTAACTTTTAAAATAACACTGGTTAGTCTTCAATGTATGACTAAACATTAATGATAGACAACAGCAGGTTTATTTGGGTTGCTGTCTCTTGAAGACCTCATGCACGGGTCTAACTGTTATACAAGTTTTGTTTCTCAACTGTTTACATTCAAAATGAATTCATATAATAGCCTATAACTGACAATGTTTAGTATAAATCGACTGTTTGCGTGAATACTCATCAAGACGGTAATTTTGACAATTTTGTATGTATTTGGCCGTTTACGTGCAATAAGGCTCAACACAACTTCATTCTGTAGTCGCACACTCTCAGATGCGGCTCTATGTGCACGCGCTCTGGGTGTGAGCTCACAGAAAGGGGTCTCACAGAGAGCACGCAAGTACTGAATCGAGCACTTGAATGTTTAAATTTGTAAGATTCATAAGCACGTGTAAATGACACATTCCGGCATCTGTCCCGGGCGTCTTTCACGCTGAAATTATCCACACCGGCGATGGCATGACTGCGGCGCTAAATCATTTATGTCCCCACACATCATGTACGTTCTCACGCGTTGACGTATTGAAGTTTAGTGAGTACCGATCGAGTCATAAAATGTGATTATCGGCCGATACCGATCTCGGGCTGATTGATCTGAGCATCCCTAGTGTAGGCTCTCATAAAAAAAAAAGCTATTGTTAAAAAATAAAGCATACATGTAGCGTTTTAAACATACGTTTAGGCCCGGTTTCACTAATGCGTTTTTGTTTTAAAATGAAAACGATCCTTGTCTACACTTGCATTTTCACTGCATTTCAGAAGCGTTATCCGCCCACACTACACAACCGAAAATGCATGTCACATGAACATTCATAAAGGTACAACAAAGAGCATGATGTTATTGTTTACACGGCCGTCAAGGATACACAGCGCGAATGGGGGCAGCCATGCCATTGTTTTCAGAAGTCTCCGTTTTGGTCAGTTTACACTGAAACGCAACCCCGGAGTTTTCAAACTAAAATGAGGTCTGCAGCGTTTTCGAAAGTCTCCGTTTTCGAAGGTCCAAAATGCCGGGGTAGTGTAAATGACAGGTGTAACCGTAGAAAAAGTTAACATAGCCTTAAAGGGTATGTCTAATGCAATTTTTATGCATTCTGACTTATTTACACTGCTAAAAAATTGGTTTCTCATGCTAAACATGACCAAAGTTTCAAAAAACGAGTTGGACATTTGACAGAGTATTTCTGTGCCAAAGACACTCCTTCAGGGTTCATATCATTTTCTGAATTTTTTTTTCCAATATGGCCCTGTATGACATCATAAAGGATGGAGTTCAGGGCTCGCAAAATCGCTAGCCCGACGTCCCGGGGCTATTGTGTTTTCCAGTCGGGCTACCAAAATGTATCACCGCTCTGCCCGATGGGCTATCTTGAACAGTGACATAAAATTCCTTCCTTGGTTTGCGTTGTTCACTAGCTTGTATGAGTAAAACGGATCATAGTTGATCGTTTGCACGTGTTTCTAAGTCTTGCCGATTTAAACAGTCAAGTGTTTTAAACCATTCACGTGCATTCGGAGCTGTGTGCTCTCATTCAAAGCGCGCACAGAGAGCCGTGTTTCACACAATGCGCGTACACAGAATTGATTCCTCTTTCGCATATCCTTCAATCTGAATGAACACATACACACAAAATTATCTCAAAATAACTGTCTCGGCAAGTATTCTCGTAAACACAGTCGGTTGTGTCTTAAGTGAACGTAATCAGTGGAGAAAGAAATCTCAAGTGCATCATTAAATTTTATCCGTGCATTCAGTCTTAAAGGGGCAGCAGTCTATAAATATCTGTTGTTCCATAAGCGCCACCTGCTGTCAGATAGTGACATTTGAGTCTCAATCACAAAGCTAAAATCAGACCATTCTGTTTTTGCTTCAAATTTTGAAATTATACAATCTAATTGCATATCTAAATAATATGTATTTAGCATCTTTGTTTGGATCATGATTAAAATGCAGTGGTTGCCTCTGATTTTAAATGGAAAAAGCACAGCCAAAGCATTAGTTTGTTTATATGAAGAGATTTGTTTTATTTGTATTTAATTATTTGATTTGGGATTTGTTTTAAAATTTCAAGTTAGTTTTATTATTTGACATATTTCAATTTCACAAAGAAATGTGCAGCATTGTGTTGGAGAAATAATAAAAGGACACCTTTTCATTTATAATTTGTCTTAAATCTAATTTTGTTAATAAGAAAAATGGTAAGAAAATTGTATAGTGAAATCAGTATCATGTATCGCATCGCGAGTTGAGTGAATCGTTACATCCCTATATGCTACTAGTTTTTGCTGTGGTATCAAAGAAGTATTCTCTTATTTAAATAATTAAGAACCATATTTATTTTGCTCATCTGCAAAATGACCCGATCTGTTACTCAAAATCTGATATGATAATGCAATATGATCCGAGCCGTGGGTTTTGTGATCTGTTACACCCCTACTCTTTTAACTTGTTATTTGAGAAAAAAAAGCAATCACTGAAGTTTTTAATCATGCTGATTTGTCCGCAGTGAAGTTCAGCCGATATCTTTTTTTTTAATTTTTATTC